ATTTATCACTAGTGAAAACAAAATATGGGGCCATTCTAAATTATCCTTGTTCCTCCTCCTGTCTTTAGTGCTATCTTTTCCTCATGAAGGCTGTGCCTGGAGGAAGGACAGAATGAGAACTGACCCAAAAGTTTACAGATGGAGTACTCCATAGCAACTGCTTTTCTACAAACCACAATATGAGTGGTTTAGATTCACTGAGGACATCACACTAGAGACCATTTTCCTTTCAGTTCAATTCCTTCATTTTGCAGATAAAAATGTGCTGACCCCTAGTCCACTGGCTTTTTGACATTCACAGGGTTATCTTTATGGAAGTAAAATAAAACAATAGTTTTTATTAGCTTTAAAAGCTGTCTTGTCATCAAAGTTGAAGAGATATTATTCTAAATGATTTTTTTTGAAAACTATACCTTATTTGAAGAGGAAAACTCAAGCATTTTTGCAAAAGCTTTTTGCTGTAGAACAATGAGACAGATTAAATGTAGCTCACAAAATAAGGGAACACGTCTTACCTCCGTTTTTATTTTTTTTCTCCAAATTCTTCTATATGGGTCCAGACAGATGGACTATGTTTACTTTCTATTAACTAAGGAGACAGAAGAATTGAGGACTGAAGCAGGTCTTCACTGTCCTGAATGTACTGAAATCCTAACAGCTTTAGCTGAAAAACTATCCAAAGTAGGCAGTGAAAATAAATTTAAAATAGGACAAACCCCAAACTATCTATCCTAGAATCCCAAGAAAGGCAGGGAAAACTGGCTCCTGGAAAGAAGACAGTCAAAGAAATAAGTAGAGTGACCTAGACCCTGTTCCAGTATGTTTGAAGTACTTGGGGATGGAGTAACCCCTTTCTTTTATTCATCTACATATGTCCATGAGCCACGAGAATGTGACTCCCCACGTGAAGCTCCTCAATACAAGACTTCTAACTAACTTTATCACATAAATCCTTTCTCAGGGGTAGGGGAGGGGCCAAATCTAAAGAATCTGAAATGGTAAGCCTATATCTTAATCAAAGTTCTGAGAATAGTTTTAAAGAAGAGTTCCTGGCAGTGAGGAACAGCAGAAGTAGCAAGGACCTTGGAACCAGGCAGACCTAGGCTTGAATTCTGGCTGTCACTTCCTGGTGAAGTGACTTGAATAACAAACATCTCTGAGTCTTACTTAGTACCATTTACCTCATAAGGCGATTTGAAGATTAAATGAAAGACCATATGCAAAGCATCTTGCATTAGGCTGAGCATAGAGTAGGTGCCTAGTAGTAATGGTGTTACATTTGCCCTGGGGCAGTGAGCAGAAAGCCTGGGGATACCCATAGGTGGCATGGCCAGGTGCTCCAGAAGCATGGGATTGTCATAGGGAAAAGGAGTTCTCTGCTCTAAAGCTCTTATTCCAGTTAGAAACCAACTCCAAGGGACAATGCACCAAAAGCCAAATAGTCATCATTCAGCTCCTAGTACAAGGGAAAGCAGAGCTCTATTACTTGCAAATCTTGTAAGTGGTTTTGCCACTTATCAACAATGTGAACCTAGGCAAGTTACCCAATGTCTCTGTGTTTCAATTTCCTTGTCCCCAAAGTGGGGATAACAATATCTACATCACAAGAGCTGTTGGAAAAACGAAAATGAGATACAGTGTCAGGGAGCATGTATTGAGTATTTTCCATGTGCCAGGCACTATCCAAGAGTTTTAGTCACACTATCTTGCTTGTACAATACATAAAAGTCCTTAGTATAGTGCCTGGAACACAGTAAGCACCTAATAGAGGTAGGTATTAAAGAAATATTATGGGGCAGAAGAGGAACTGCTATGGTTCCGAGAGAAAGAAGATACGTTAATAACATGCATGGGAAGAATAAGATGCAGTTGGGAGAAGGAAAGTATAGTGGTTGCTGGGTATGACTGTCTCAAACCTTTTGAACTATTACAAATAGAAAATAATAAAACAGCCACCCTGAGTCCTCCCAAAGGACAGACCAAGTCATTATTTTCACCCTTAATGTTTATGCCTTTCTGAATCTGAAGAAGAAGCTGCCAGGATTTTCAGTACATACCAAAAAGTGATGACAATACCCTGAAGTGTATAAACTTGTGTGTGCACACAGCTATCTAAAGGAAACCAATGCTGGATGACTGGGGAAGCATTGGGGTGTCTCTGTGACTGCAGCTCAATTTGCCTTCATAGTATGGCCACACCTGCCTCATTGGTATTCTCATACCAATGGGGTAAATAATTCAATAGGGACAAAGCTTAGAATCACCTTATTGTCTCTTAGTGCTTATGTTCTTAGCACAACACTGATGTACCACAGCAATGTCAATGTACTCTACTTGCATAAGATATAGCCCTTCTACATTGTAGAGTCCTTCAGTTTCTAAAATCATGGAACTTGTATTGTTAGAACCAATGAAGTGACTAAAAGAATTTTTAAAAACAATCCATCAGTCTGGACCTGTGTAGGTGAATGAAGAAGAAGCACTTTAAAGTCAGAAAAGAAAAAAGTATACTTAACATTTTGGATTATCAACCACTGCTGGTTTTCCATAATCTATTTCATTCCTGATTTTATCTGAAAGAGATATGATTATTACTACCATTCAAAAAGTGGTACCTTATTAAAGCCAAATAAAACAAAAACCCCCAAAGGTGGTACCTTATTAATAAGCTCTTGGCATGTCTTTGAGGTGGATTTCAGATTCAAAATAGACTTTACCACACTGCTAACTTGTTCACTCGGTATTTATCAATAACTTAGAGGGTTCATTCAAGAAGCTTACTGAGTTATAATTACCTGAAACCCAGGGTGAATCAAGGTCTTGTGGGGCCTGAACCTCATCTACTTTGGGAAATCCTGTCTAATAAAAACATGCAACATTATGAGTATAAAAATTGCTAGGACTCCTCTCAAGACCTTGGAAGGAGCCTATGGAAGTGAGGTGCCCTGAAGTTCAAGCTTTGGTCAGTTCAAAATAAATCCACCTCAGCAAGGGCCTATACATTTTACAGACTTCTTTAATGCCAGAGAAAATATTGTTTCAACTTGCAAACACCTTGGTAACATGTCACACAGGTAACATGACTAATTCAAAGGGTGGCATCTTCCCTTGGCAACTTGCCTTTGGAAAGAAATGCAATGACGTTTATATTTCACTATGGCAGAGATTTCCTAAAGCAGACTAGCTTTGTCTATTAGAAAAATTTGGCCCCAAACAAAAAAGGAGCCTAACCCCCAGTACACACTTACTGTATTGTGATAATCTTTCAGAAGGAACTGTGAATTAGTTTTCGAAGCTCTATTCAAGTCCCATGACATGAGTATTAATATATTATCAATACTGGATAGCTCTGGTTCTTTAATTACCTTTATCTGTTATTTAAGATGCACACAGAAACTCAACACAAACAAGCTGTTGCCTCATCCATTAAGAATCTTTTCTATCTCACAACCTGTTCCCCACTTTGTCAACCCCCTACCTTGTTACCCTGCTGCATGGATGCCAGTACGGCTCCCATGTGTTTTCCCGTCAACATCTTTCTCCTTCCAGTATGAAAGTTTCTTGGGGACAGTCCCTGTCCTATTCTTTGTACCCCCAGTACTTAGTACAGTGTTGACATGTATTGGACATGGCACTCACTGAATGTTTTTCAATGAATTCATTGATTTTTATCAACTGATTCCTCCATATTCTTTCCTGTGTTGCCCATATAACTATAATGAAAGTCAGATTCTTTCTTTCTTTTCTTTCTTTTCTTTTCTTTCCTTTCTTTCTTTCTTTCTTTCTTTCTTTCTTTCTTTCTTTCTTTTTGGAAATTCAGATTCTTCTAATAGACTCTTGGTGTGAGAGCATGCTTAGAAATAAAGATGGTGAGTTTAAGGCACTATATTGATGCACCAAAACCTCTTGGTGCAGAAACCCAATGAGCCTTTTCTCCAGGGTGTTGGCAAGCAAAAAACTGACCCTCTGTATTCTTTTTCCAAGTTAGGCATCAGCAAATTAATGGGAGGAGAGAGGAGCCTTCAACAGATAGGCATCTGCAGGAACTGTCCCTCTAGCTCCAGACATGCCCTCAACACCTTCATCTATCCTAAAATAAACTGTGTGAAATAATATTTCTGAACTACAAGACAGGTAAGATAATCTTTTCCAAAGTCAGGTTTAGAGGAAGATCTTCACCTTGAGTCTAAAATCCCCCTCAGGCCATTGAACATCCCCCACTATGATTTGTTTATATCACCAGGAAATCACAGAATTTTCCAGCCGAAAGGGAATGACACACTTCTTATTGAAGAAGAGTCAGGAAATAGCCACATGGAATTATGCTACAGCAATGTATTTCATGAACATTTTTCACACAACTTAACACAAACAATATCTTTTACCATACCTCAAAGGTTCTTATGGCCCCCAGATGATTTACTCAGAGGTATACATTTTTTGAAAAATAATGTTCTGGGTAACTGGTGAGAGAAGTGCCCTGTGGCAGGTTCTCAGCAGTTCTTTCTGCTTTACCATTTAAAAGAAGCTGATGGCTGAGGAAGCACCCACACTTTTGCTCCCTGGAGAATTCCCCTACACTTAGTTCTTTGAAGCTTTATTTTGCACGCATTGAAGCAGTTAGGTACTTTGCACATTAGCAGGAATCAAAGTTAAATTCAAAGGTGGAATTTCAAGGACCATGCCCCTATTGGTGAAGCATCATTGTCATGGATTCCCAGGATAATGTTGATTTGGGTGTTATTTGCTTGGGGCCTTTTATTGCTCATACCAAAGCTGAGTACAGGGAAAGCTGAGAGTGCCATTTATGAGATAGACAAGCCTCTTGGCCTCTTTGTACCTTAGTTTCCTCATTTGAAAAAAAAAGAATGGATTTTAAGACATACTTTTCAGAGTTCATACTGGGCTTGTTACATCCACTGAACCAATAAATGTTTGATGTTTTTACATATTGTTTGTCTGCTTATTTTTTACATGTATTCATTTTCTATTTCACTTACAGCTTATGCAAAAACTGCATTCCATGCCAGGCCTGAAATGTTCCAAAGCTCACTTCTGTGAGTAAATTGCAACCAAGATTTCTACAAAAAAAGACACAAGCAAAAGAAGAAGAAAAAAAGATTTTCTTTCAGAACATTTATCCTTTGGCAGTGATTCCAATTTATATAGGATGAAACATAATCTCAATACCCTCTCCATATCCTGAAACTATCTCACTATGGAAGATATGCTTTTTAAAAATTTTTTAAAAATTTAAATTAAAAAAATTTGCATGAAAGATTTATATTTTCATGTTTCTACATGTGTTGCATTAGATACAAATCAGTAAGTGCTCAGTAAATACTTGCGTTAGGTAATCTTTATTTCTCTAGAAAAATATTTCACATCAGCACTATTGACATTTGTGGTTGGATCCTCTTTGTTAGGAGGGGCTGTCCTGTGCATTATAGGGTGTTTAGCAGCATCTCTGGCCTCTGCCCACTAGATGCCAGTAGCACATCTACAGTCTGACAACCAAAAATGTCTCCAGACACTTCCAAATGTCACCTGGGTGCAAAATCACCCTAGTTGAGAACCACTGCTCTAGAATGATTCAGTCTGATCTGTATAATAATTCTTACACTAATCTTTGCTACAGACAAAAAAGATTCGCTACATAATTTTAGTAGCTTTCTACTAATAAAATTACAATCATATTTCAAAATGATTGTAACAAAGAGGTTTACAATTAAGTTTAACAAAAATTCCAAATATAATGAAATTATATTTGTAACTTACATAAACTTCAAAAAAGGTAGTGGTTCAAATGTACGTCTTTCAATAGATTGTATCTTATTGCAGGATAAATCTCTAGGAAAAGTAAAAGGAAAACATTGCCTCAATTAGCTATTAGATACCTAATTAGTAGGCTGATAGTATTGAATAAGTAGCCTTTGCCTAAACTCTGAACTTAAGGATTTGTTATTTGAACCTTCCAGAGCCCCCAGCTCTCCTCATCTCTCTTAAAAGAGTCTCATTTTCATAAATGAAACAAGTAACTACAGCTCTTGATAGATTCTGGAAGTAATCTTTCCTGAGAGCAGAAGAATTGATTAGAGGACATTTGAGGCCTCATCAATTTCTAGATTATGAGCTCAAAGTTTTGACCTCCACATAGAATTTCTTTCTTTATTTTTTAAAAGATTTTATTTGTTTATTCATATAGACACACAGAGAGAATGAAAGGCAGAGACACAGGCAGAGGGAGAAGCAGCTCCATGCAGGGAGCCTGACATGGGACTGGATCCAGGGTCTCCAGGATCACACCCCGGGCTGAAGGTGGCACTAAACTGGTGAGCCACTCGGGCTGCCCCTATAATTTCTTTTTTAAAAATATTTATTTATTAGAGAGTGTGTGTGCGTGCACATGCGCAAGTGGGAGGAGCAGAGGGAGAGGGAGAGAGAATCCCAAGCAGTCTCCTCACTGAGTGCAGAGCCCAACTGGGGGCTCCATTTCAGGATCCAGAGATTGTGACCTGAGCCAAAACCAAGAGTCAGATGCTCAGCCAACTGCACCAATCGGGCACCCCTATAATTATAATTTCTAATATTAAAAGGGATATTCTCATTTTGGAACACCTTCTTGGTTTAGTTCTATTTTTCTAGGCCAATTCAATACCAGAAAAAATAAAAGATATCCTTTCATTTAAATTGAAAGGAAGTTACCCCTCTAATCAATACATAAATTTAAACTAACTCAGAATCATACCATCATGTTAATAGAAATTCATTTTTGGTTGTACATTTGCCTTAATATTCCATGAATTTATTAATTGCTTCAGTTGCAAGTGGTGAGACAACAAAAAACACCACATAGTACTGGAACTTTATTTGAAAACACACATTCTTGATAATACTTGACCCTCATACTTCCATTGATCCCAGCTTAGTCCCTCATTTTCCACCTACTCTTCAGACTGGCATTGCCATCTCTAGTCTTTCCCTTTCTAATCCATCCTGCACACAGTCACCAGACTAATTCTCCACAAGTGGTTCTCAAATGCCAGAATCACTTGGGCACTTACTCAAGATGCAAATTCTCAGCCTTACTCTATAGACTAATGGAATCAGTAACTGTGGAGGTGGAGCTTATTTTCTGACAAGCCCTCCAAGTGACTCTGTTGCAGTTTATTTATTTATTTATTTTTCTATTGCAGTTTAAAGCTTGTCCCGGAGCACTGCTGTGATAATCCAGTAGTGTGGCATGTTAATCCACGGCCTTCAAAATCCTAGAAGACTAGCTCTAATCTCCTACTCTACAGGTACTCAAGATATTTTTCCTGTATTTTGCCTTTCTCCCAGTCTCCTTTGTAAGCTTATTCTCCCTACAATGTCTTTCTGATGATACCCAATAGCTCTTCAAGGTCCTGTTGAAACAGCATTGCTCTAATAGCTTCCCTGATCCAATGTGAAGTCTTTTCTCCCTCATCTGTATTCCAAAACCAATTTATATCTCTCATTGCCCATATCCATTTCTTCTTCTTCTTTTGAAAAAAAATTTAAAGTAGGCTTCACACCCAAACTAGGGCTTGAACTCATGACCCTGAGATCAAGAGCCACATGCTCTACCAACTCAGCCAGCCAGGCATTCCAATTTATTTTTAATATAGTTATTTTTGCATCCTTTTCCCTCTGAGCATAAAATACTTGAAAGTATGGACTAGTTGTGTTCATCTGCATTGTCTACCATGTTTAAAACTGACACATGTTTCTTTGGTGTTGAGTTTAATAAGTTCTTTATAGATCTTGGAAACTAGCCCTTTATCTGATACGTCATTTGCATCAAAGAAACAAACTATCCAATCATGAAATGGGCAAAAGACATGAACAGAAATCTCACAGAGGGGGATCCCTGGGTGGCGCAGCGGTTTGGTGCCTGCCTTTGGCTCAGGGCGCGATCCTGGAGACCCGGGATCGAATCCCATATCGGGTTCCCGGTGCATGGAGCCTGCTTCTCCCTCTGCCTATGTCTCTGCCTCTCTCTCTCTCTCTCTCTCTCTCTCTCTCTCTGTGACTATCATAAATAAATAAATTAAAAAAAAAGAAATCTCACAGAGGAAGACATAGACATGGCCAACACTCACATGAGAAAATGCTCTGCATCACTGGCCATCAGGGAAATACAAATCAAAACCACAATGAGATACCACCTCACACCAGTGAGAATGGGGGAAATTAACAAGGCAGGAAGCAACAAATGTTGGAGAGGATGTGGAGAAAAGGGAACCCTCTTGCACTGTTGGTGGGAATGTGAACTGGTGCAGCCACTCTGGAAGACTGTGTGGAGGTTCCTCAAAGAGTTAAAAATAGACCTGCCCTAGGACCCAGCAATTGCACTGTTAGGGATTTACCCCAGAGATTCAGATGCAATGAAACGCTGGGACACCTGCACCCCGATGTTTATAGCAGCCATGTCCACAATAGCCAAACTATGGAAGGAGCCTCGGTGTCCATCGAAAGATGAATGGATCAAGAAGATGTGGTGTATGTATACAATGGAATATTTCTCAGCCATTAGAAATGACAAATACCCACCATTTGCTTCAACGTGGATGGAACTGGAGGGTATTATGCTGAGTGAAGTAAGTCAATTGGAGAAGGACAAACAGTGTATGTTCTCATTCTTTTGGGGAATATGAATAATAGTGAAAGGGAATATAAGGGAAGGGAGAAGAAATGTGTGGGAAATATCAGAAAGGGAGACAGAACATAAAGACTCCTGACTCTGGGAAACGAACTAGGGGTGGTGGAAGGGGAGGAGGGCGGGGGTGGGGATGAGTGGGTGACGGGCACTGAGGGGGACACTTGACGGGATGAGCACTGGGTGTTATTCTGCATGTTGGTAAATTGAACACCAATAAAAAATTAATTTATTATTAAAAAAATAAAATTGACACATAGACATGAAACAAACTCAAATATTTATAAAATAAATATAAAGAGCTGGCTAGTGAATAGCAGAAACAAAATGTGTAAAAAGAAATGTGGTTTTATGACTTTATGGCTCCCTCTTCTGCACCTCTTCAGCACTTTGTCATCCACTTAGTGCTTTATGCATTGTGGTTTGAGCTTGTATTTTCCTTGTGAGATCATGAGTTCCTACAGGGGTAGGAAGCCTGTCTTAATCATCTGAGTGCCTATGATACTGGGCATAGTGCCTGTCATATTAGCTTTGGATTGACCTTTTTTTTTTAAATGAATGAGAACACTTCAGCTAACATAAAATAATTGGCTTACAAAGTATTTCATGGTAGTAGTAACGAAGTGCCTAATCCTTTGAGCAGTTTATCTCATTTGATATTCTCCAAACAGTGTTTGTAAAGTTTATAGAGTCCAGATGGCAGAAGCAGCCAAGAAAACCAATACAAGAGTGGCTGTCCCCTAAGACTTGGAAGGTTTGACAACTTAAAGGACTATTCTTAGTGTCATATCATGCTCTTTTTTACCCACTATCCTTAAACCTTCTACATTTGCAAGAAGACTCTATTTGCTCAAGAGCATCATTAATAGGGATTAATGACTTACACAGCTCTGGATGCCACAGACAAAGATAAAAATTGAACCTTTATAGCAAAGAACATGGTATCTCTGTATGTATACCTAGAAATACTAAAGAAGCATTTCCTCCTTGACAATAAGGCTGGGGAGATTTTATTTTATAATTATTGAAATTAGGGGCATTTCTGATATGTTTGCTTAATGTAAACATTTCTAACCATACCACTTAACCATCATTTTATTTTACTTTAAAGATTTTATTTCCTTAAGTAATCTCTATACCCAATGTGGGTTTCAAACCCACAACCTCAAGATCCAAAGTCACTTGCTCTATCAACTGAGCCAGCCAGGTACCCCTTAACCATCATTTTAAACATCTATTTTTAATACTGGTGCTAGAATTCCCACTGAAATCCTTAATCAGCTCTCTTGGTAACTTAATAGGTACTTGATAATACTGCTTACATAATTCACCTGCTTAAATATTTAATATTTAAATGTTTAATTTAGATTAAATTATTAAAAACATTCTGGGTTAATGGCATTCAAAATAATGTAAGTGTTCTATATTATGTTGTCCTGTAGGTGACAATTTGAGGTTAATTTTAATTCCTCTCATTTTACTAAACCAACTTTTTCAAACCTTTTCTGTAAAGGCCAGATAGTAAACATTTTGGGCTTTGCAGGCCATATATGGTCTCTGTCATATATTCTTCTCTTTCTCTTCTTTTCTCTTTTAAAGCCCTTTAAGAATGTAAAAATCATTCTTAACTCATAGGCTGTGTAAAGACAAACCTGAGCATGATTTGATCCATGAGCCATAAACTAAGTATAAATGTAAGCACACGGTACATGAACACTTACAAAACAGGTTCATATGTGCATCCATAATTGCTCAGACCTAATTACTCCTTTTGCTCTATAACTGAAGGGTCTTTTTCTATCTTTATCTTGTCTATAGAATTAAAAAACTGAAAATGCATATGAGATATTTAATGCTAGAGATGGAATTTTATTGTTAGAAGAAATTGTAGTGATTATCTAATTTGAACCCCATATTTATTTTACAGATAATATAACTAAAAACACATAATAAGTGATTAATTAACTTACAAATACTGTAGGGATAGCAGGCCTTCAAATGAGTCCTTATGTAATTCACTCAAGTAATTTTCACTGAGAATTCTGAAAAATGAAAAGGTTATTTCTGCATCAAAATGCAAAACAACTACAATTATTTACTACACAGGACTAACTCCCATCTGGGAGGGAAACCTGTGTAATGGTTCCACCTAAATATACTAATTCTTCTTTAATTTAGGAGTACTGAGCTCTGTGCTGTTTCCACTCAAATCCTTTTTTGTTCTATCTCTCTCTCTCTCTCTCTCTCTCTCTCACACACACACACACACACATGCATCCATCCACTATTTGAACCAAAATGCATATTTAATGCCTACTCTCTGGATCACAAAGTCTCTGCTAGAACCCTGGTTTAGATGACAACAATACTGGCAGAACTGACATTTCCTCCTCTCTTTTTCTAAATTCTATGTTGGAAGCCCCATACAGCACTATAGGTAAAGTCATTTGATTTTTTTTTCCCCAACCAAAAAAAAAAAGTTTTTGAGAACTAAAAAAATGCATATCAAGTGTACATAACATATTCAGTTTAATAATTATAAAGCAAATACCCATGAAATACCACTTGTATCAAGAAAAACCCCTGCCAGCATCCCAGAAGGCTTCAGTGTGCCCCTTCCAATCACAACCCTCTCTGATTCCCCAGAAGTAACCATTATCCTGACTTTAATAATTTCTTTGCCTTTTTTAATTTTTAAAAAAGATTAATTGATGGGAGAGGGGCAGAGGGAGAGAAAGAATCTCCAGCAGACTCCTGGCTGAGTGTGGAGCCCTATCCCATGACCCTGAGATCATGACCTGAGCCCAGTCAAGAGTTGGACACTTAACTGACTGAACCACCCAGGGACCTCTAATTTCCTTGCTTTTTTATTTTTTCCTTGCTTTTTTAAATGTAGTTTTGCCTATCATATGTCAGCCATAAACAACATAATTTAGTTTTGTCGCTTCTTGAACTTTATATAAATGGAATCACAGGTATTATTTTCTATGTTGCTTCTTTCACTCAATATTTCTTATAAATTCATTATATTGTTGCATGTAGCTGAGGTTGGTTCATTTCAATACCTAGTATTGCATGTCTAGCTGCATGTGGCTACTGAATACTTGGGAGTGGCTAGTGTGACTGAGGAGCTGAATTTTTAATTTAATTAATTTTATTTACTTTAAAATACAAATGAAAAAACTGATACTCAACAGTTATTAGAAAATGTGTAAATATGTTTGCAACAATGTAGGTATGTGATATTACTTTTTTAACTGTAATTTTTATGAAATCTAAATACAGATCAAGTATTCTTGATAAAAGACTAGCAATCAAATTGTGATTTCAGAGTTACTATGGAAAAAAGAACATAAACTCTCAATAATTTTTATACTGATTACATGTAGAAATGATATCGACACAGGCACAGGCATTTTGAAGACAGTATACAACATAGACTATCTTACTAATAATGGGTATAATAATTATATGTCAAAATAATATTTTGGCTATAAGAGCTAAACAAAATATATTAACATTTATGTCATCTCTCTCTTTTTACTTTTTTTTTTTCAGTGACACACATTTTATTTTTTATTTTTTTATTTTATTTTATTTTATTTTATTTATTTTTTATTTTTTTTTATTTTATAAATTAATTTTTATTTGTGTTCAATTTACCAACATACAGAATAACACCCAGTGCTCATCCCGTCAAGTGTACCCCTCAGTGCCCGTCACCCATTCACCCCCACCCCCACCCTCCTCCCCCTCCACCACCCCTAGTTCATTTCCCAGAGTTAGAAGTCTTTATGTTCTGTCTCCCTTTCTGATATTTCTCACACATTTCTTCTCCCTTCCCTTATATTCCCTTTCGCTATTATTCATATTCCCCAAATGAATGAGAACATACACTGTTTGTCCTTCTCCGGTTACTGTGGCCAAGTTCAAAAAGGGTGTTGCCTGAGTTCTCCTCTGGGATTTTGATGGAATCTTGTCTCACATTTAGATCTTTCATCTATTTTGAGTTTATCTTTGTGTATGGTGCAAGAGAGTGGTCCAGTTTCATTCTTCTGCATGTGGATGTTTAATTGGGGTTCCCGAGGGCGCCGAAAGGGACAGAGGGCCAGAATATGTATTTGAACAAATCCTAGCTGAAAACTTTCCCAATCTGGGAAGGGAAACAGGCATTCAGATCCAGGAAATAGAGAGATCCCCCCCTAAAATCAATAAAAACGGTTCAACACCTCGACATCTAATAGTGAAGCTTGCAAATTCTCTTTTTACTTTTAATTTTTAAGCGGCTATCAGAAAATTTGAGATTACTTATGTGGCTTTATGGTTCAAACAAATAGTGTTCCATTTTATGACTATACCACACTTTATTCATTCTACTGTTGGCAGATGTCATCCAATAGATATATATAGAAAAACAGGTTAAAATCCTGCCCCAGGAGAGCAGTGGTCCATAGTTAGGAACCTCTGCTTACAAGGTATAACCCTCAAGCTGAACCAGACATCTGCAGGACTTACCGCATTCATGTTCTAGTGTATAAATTCCCAAACACATGCTTTTTAAAAATTAATTTTTTAATTTCAATGCACTTTTAAAAAATATGTAATATATATTCACATGGCCCAAATTCCAAAGGTATATAGTACACAACGCCAAGTTTTTCTCCTACCCTTGTCCTCAGCCCACCTATCCCCCTCCATTCCCTAAAGAAAACTAACGTTATTTATTTCTTGTGACAATTATTTTCAGTTTTCTTATAAGTTTGGGAAATAAAATCTCCCAGTCAGACACTATCATGGAGAAATATAAACTACACATAGTATTTAAGAAATTCACAAAATAAAAAACAAATGCCTAGTTCTAGCATTTCTCCCTTACCAATAAGATATCAGACTGAGGGGTGAAATCTACTTTAGAGGGATCATAATCCCTATTTTTAGATTGCTATGATTACTATGTCATTATTGTTAATTCAGGAGTCATTTATGACTTCTCTGCTCAAGTTTCACTAATGATATGACACAAAACTCTCATAAAACACCAGTTAATTGCTTTGATTGTAATATTTTTTTTCTAAAAACACTTGTGTCTACATTGACTTTTTCTACAGATCATTTTTTTTAAAAAGATAACAGAAAATTGGCAAAGGACAGAAAATTCACTCAAGAAATACAAATGTTCAGTAAACATAGGTATTTAAATTTACAAGTAATCAGAAAACCTCAAATTCACATGGGACCCCTTTTATTCACCCATCAGATCAGTCAAGAAATGGAGAATATCCAGTAGTGGGTGGTATGAGGATGTGAATGCTGTCATGATCTATGGGTTGGAGTTTAAGTTGGCACAACTTTTTTGAGGGCAATTAAAATTTTACATCTACATAGTCTTTATTCAAACAATTCCATTTCTAGATATCTATTCTACAGAAATATCTGCGCACATACACAAAGATGCATGGTTGAGGCAGTTCACTACAGCAGCGCATGTGACAAGAATATGGGACACAGTCTAAACATTCATCAATAGGAGAATTACTATATACATTCATACTTTGGAATATATTACACAGGCATATACATGAATGGGGTAACCCCCTATCTATGTACTAAAAGAAAAGAAATCTAAGACATAAGATAAAAGAATCAAAAGCTTAATTTATAAGCATAAGCATAAGCAAAAGAATCAAGTTGTAGGAAGTTATCATTTATGTAAAAACAAAAACAAGGTAAGAAAATCCCACAACAAACCTATTTTGTTGTCTATAAATATGTATGTAGACAAATGCATGGAAAAAGATCTGCAAGGATATATACTAAATCCAGAGGAGTAGTGGCTATCTCAGTGGTAGGGGATCAGAACACAAAGAAGATGTTCACTTTATCTATTCTTTCATTTTTATATATTGAGGATATAATCATGTATTCCTATATAATGGAAAATAAGTTTATATTGACGCTAAATTTTAAAGAGAGCATGTCAAATTCAATTTTCAAGATAAACATAGAATTGGCATCAATAGAGGTTGATTTGGGATATGGAGGGGGAAATACCTTTCCTCCAAGATACTGACTTCAAAATTCTTGACTAAGAAGGATCTTAGGATGCAGTTTTTTGTATTCGTATTTGGAGAAAATATACTCACAATTTCTCAGTCCAACGGTATGCCTTCCATGCATTTTCCTCAATGTAAGAAATAGTTTCCTTGGAAATTTCTGTGAAGAGAAACACAGTTCAGATCCTTGACTAGTTAGGAAAAGAATGAACAGAATAAGTAAAAGAATCATTGGCAACCTTGGGGGAATATGCAAATGCAGAAAATACCAGCTTCTTAATATCCATAGCTATCAGCATCCCAGTTTGCACAATTAATAAGGAAATGTGGGGCCATTGGTGTCAACAAGCCATCTCCTTAGAACTGGAACTTTCTATTTGTCTAATTTCTTGGATAGATAATGCCAGTTAATTACTTTATGAATATGGGTATTTTTCTCCAAATCACCTCTATGTGTCTAAAATGGTTCTTTCTGTAAATCAATGAGAAAATAATTCAACAGAAAAATGGCAAAAAAAAGTATCAAACAAAGGTAAAAAAAAAAAAAAAAAACAAAGGTAAAGAAATCCTATGCCAGGAAACAAAGGTAAAGAAATCCTATGCAGGAACACCAAAGCTTTGGCCCAGTAACTTCTTTTGAAATCTCTCCAGCTGTTAGGAGAAGTTAGAAATGAGAGGAACTAATATGGAGAGATTTCTTAGACATGTTACATAGGGAAAAGCAACAAATCACTGAGCAAGCAATAAAAAGTATTACCTAATGGTTAGGGGAAAAATTGCAAAGGAAAGTGATGGGAAGGACAGACACCAAAATGTTAACAGGAGTTATCTTATGGGTGGTAGGGGGGTTTGGGTGGAATTTTCACATTTTATCCTATATGCTTGTGACATTAAAAAAAAATGAGAATGTATCCATGAATTGCAAGTATTTCAAAGAAGCTATGAAATGCCTGAGTTCAGTTTTAATCACTAATTCCGTATATGACTGAATCTTACCTTTAACTTATCTTCTTCCCTCAGCAACAACTTACCTATTCATTTTTTAAGGTGTTATTTATTCATGAGAGACAGAGAGAGACAGAGACAGACAGAGAGAGAGAGAGAGAGAGAGAGAGAGAGAGAGCAGCAGAGACACAGGCAGAGGGAGAAGCAGGCTCCATGGAGGAAGCTGATGTGGGACTCAATCCCGGGTCTCCAGGATCACGCCTTGGGCTGAACGTGGCGTTAAATCGCTGAGCTACTGGGGCTGCCCTCCTAAGCTAATTCTTTTTTTTTTTTCTAAGCTAATTCTTAATTCCTGATCATTCTTGCAGCTGTGCCTTTGCTTAGACTATACTCCCTATTCTTGCTGTATTTAACAAATCATAGCCACTCTAAATCTCAGCCGAAATTTTAGCTTATCCATGCAGCTTTCTCTGACCCCTACACTCCATTGATTACAGATTCTGGTGACTTACAGCACCTATAGTCTGTACTTAATTATAGGTCACCTGTGTTTCTATGCCTATTTCCTTTCTTCCCACCCCTTATTTCATATTCTAAAGACAATGCCATACTTGCATGGCTGCCACAGTACTGAGTCCTGGGCTGGGCACAAAATAGGTGCTGTATATAGAAAACCAAGGGACAAAGATGAGTTCTAAACATAGCTGAGGAATCAAATAATAGCTAACACTCACATATATGCGAGGCACTGAAAACGTGTTTTATATGTATTAACTCACCAAATCTCACAATAATCCCATAAGGCAGTAACTATTATCCCATTTTATAGATAAGGAAATTGAATCAAAAGCTAATAAGTGACAGAACTCAATACAGGGGTCTCCTGCTGTGTTGGAGGTTTCTCCTGTGTGGGAGACTCTGGGGACTCAGTTGGAATCTCCTGTTGAAATGGCAAAAGTTCAATCTCCTCAGGGGACTGTGGAGGCAGAGTTGGGGCTTCATGCTGGGTTGCCAAAGGTTCCACATTAAGGGGCACAGAGGGCTGAGCGACAGACTCATGCTGAACTGGCAAAGGTCCCACCTCTGTAGTGGGTTCTGGTGTTACAGTAACCTGCACGTCTGCAGGTTTAACAGTGATATTGGGCAGGTTTAAATGTTGAACCTGATGGTGACCTGGAGGTGCAACTCTCACCTCATGATGCTCTAGATGTTGAGCTGGGTGTTCCTGCTGGGTTGGAATAGGTTCCACCTCCCCCAGAGACAGCTCTGGAGGCTGAGATCCTTGTTCTTGCAGGGTTGCAGAAGATTCTATCTCCCCTGGAGATTGACCTGGGTTCTCTTGCTGGGTTGAAGATTCTGCCTCATTAGGGAGCTGTGCAGGTTCATCTGGGGCCTCCTGTGTGACTAGAGTAGGCCCAGCCTCCTCAGGGAGCTCTACAGCCTGTTCTGGGGCCTCCTGTGTGACTAGAGTAGGCCCAGCCCCCTCGGGGAGCTCTACAGGCTGAGCTGGGAACTCCTGTGGGACTGGAGAAGGCTCAGCCTTATCGGGGTGCTGTGGAGGCTGAGTTACAGTTACAGTAAGTGCCAAATCTACAGGTTTAACAGTGACATTGTGTAATTTTGGCCGCTGAGCTTCATTCTGACTCAGGGACGGCACATTTACCTCCTGAGGTGGTACCTCCTCCTCTGGTGGCTGAGCTGGGGTCTCCTGAGGGGTCGAAGGTTCTACTTCCTCAGATGCCTCTGTAGGTTGAGCTGAGGCTTCCTGTTGGACTTCAGGGGTACTTGAAGGTTCAGCTGGGGCCTCTTGTGGGCCTACAGAATTTCCAGCTTCCTTAAGGATCTCTGGAGGCTGAGATTGAGCATCCTGAAGAAGTGGAGGTGTTTCTGTCTCTTCAGGGGACTCTGGATGCTTGGCCTGGGCCTCCACCCCAAGCAGAAAAGGTTCAGGTTCTTCTAAAGTTGACTGGAGAGGTCCTGCAGGGGTCTCCTGCAGGAGTGAAGAAATTTCAAGCTCCTCAGGGAGCTTTGGGGGTTGATCTGGTCCCCCTGGGAAATCCATTGGTCGGTTTTCCTCAGGATATATGATATCCATACCAGAATCTGAATAATCGTCCTGCAGTTGTTCTAGGAGCTCTTTATTTGCAAATTGGTTTGGAGTTCTAAGAAGAACTTTGGCAAGCCTTCGATGCTGAACTAGATCTTTGTCCAGGTTTGGGGATGAAACAAGAAACTTTCTTTGGTTTAAACTCTGACTGTCCAGAGGTGGAATAAGTATTTCCAATGACTGGTGATCTTCTGGCTCATCTCCAGTTTTCATCTTATTTTTGAGTGGAGGAGGCAGAACTATGGCCTGATTCTCATCACCTAACCTTGGAACCACTTGTAAGAGCCTTTTGTGCAGGGTTGGCTTGTTATTCAGATACTGATCTGTCTCTGGGGGCAGCTCACCAATTGAATCCGTGCCCAGGAATGGAACCAAAGTCTCAGTCAACTGCTTAGGCGGGGCCGATATCTGGGCTGGAGCAGAGGACCTCAAGTTATTAAAGCCCCCCGGCCCTGCGGGGGGGGTAAGTGCCTGGAGCGATTCATGCAGGAGGTCAGAGGAGTGGGAAGACCTGGGTTCCGGGGATCTCCGAAGGCCGGAGGTCCGACGGGCCCACTCCGGAAGGGGAGCTGCCTGGCCCAACAACCACAATGGTTGCCAGGTAAAGAGAAGTATTAAAATGAAGAAGCAAAGCCGGGGCATCATACTCGGAGACTCTGGGGAGCAGAGACCCAAGCCAGTGGGGCGCTTGGTCTCACCAGAGAAACCGAAATGTTCAGGGAGCCCGGTGACGCCCCCATTGTTAGCAACTGCGCGCCCCTGCCCCGCCTACGTCCCACCCTTTATTTACGCCACCTTTATTAGCTTGGCACAGCTGGGGTGCGGCTGGGGCCTGAAGCCCCTCGTTCAAGCCTTTTCCCCAGAATCCCCAGGCCAAGCCTCCCTTCCCCTGCAAAGGCCACCACTACCTCCCGCCGAGCTACAGGGAAGGATTTGGGCTGCTGGAGTCTGCATGGACCCAGACTCCAGCCGCTCTGAGGTGTAAGGGTCGGGGTGTGGAGCAGTTTCCCAAGGAAGCAGAAGACCTGGCGTCCCGGGGGATTCAAAATGCTAGTCCAATTCTGGCGGACCGAACTTGTCCTCTTCAAAGCTTAAATCCGAGACACGTTCCTCCTCCACCCCCCCCACCCCCCACCCCGGCTATACTGCTTCTAAGAAAAGAGGCTGACGTGAAGAATAAGCACGGGGACAGTGGGGAGGGGAGCACACTTTACAGTTACTCTGAAATGCTGCCATTTCCTCTAAGTTCTCAATACGCATGTCTGATTTTTAATTCACTACTGTGTTAGGAGGAGGCTACCTACCACTGAATCAGTGATGGCTCCAAATTCCTGTGGGAGGGGCTTGGGGGCATGGGGGTAGGGGAGAGGTGAGCAATTCATTCTGGGTATGAGAGTCTGAAACCAAGGGACTAGCCCTCCGTTTACATTAGTATGGAAAACTTCCCCGTCCCACCTACACTCAACACACCTGTCAATCTAGAACAAGTAACCACCATTTCTCAGAGGTCTACCCCGTGTGCACGCATGGAGAAGGCACTTAAAATGTTGAGGTCAGCATGTTAAACTTTCTGGAAATACTGTAACTACCACCCCGTTTACTTCCTTCACTGTCCTTTCTATAATCTCTTTCTGTTTAGTACGTGTTTATGGTCTGGCACAAGCTCTGGAGAACGTAGGTTTTTGTTTTGTTTTGTTTTGTTTTTAAGGATTTATTTATTCAGAGAGACAGGCAGAGACACAGGCTGAGGGAGAAGCAGGCTCCATGCAGGGAGCCCTACACAGGACTCCATCCAGGGTCTCCAGGATCACACCCTGGGCTGCAGGCTGCACTAACCCGCTGCTCCACCAGGGCTGTTGGGAGAGAACGGATTTTATCCTATTCCCAGTGTCTAGCACATAGTAATGGTTTTAAATGGAACTAATTCCAAAACTGGTCTTATTTAGGAATGGATCTGTTGTTAGAGTCAGGTTTCTGAAATCTATAGCATCAATACTGAATCTCTTTCTCTCACATTTCACAGGAAGCTAGATATCTTAAAGTGTAAACTTGGATAAGTCTGAAATTTCCTTGACTGGCTTGATTTAAATTGAATTAGAAGAATTTTTGCACAAACAAAACGTCAAATACTTTTTCAGAAAGTAACCATCTTTTCTTTCTCTACTCTCTTCCCTTCAAAACAAATGTTGCAACTTCGGAGTTAGTTAAATAATCAGAATTCTAGCCCCAAATTAAGTTCTTAATGACTTGAAACACATTCTTTGCTCCTTTTATTTATTTTTTTTTAACATTCAATATATAGAACATTGTCATCTTATTTTAGAAATTACTTTGTCAACTTAATCCCTAATTTAGGGTCAGGGTTACAGAAAAGTTCTTCAACAAATATTTCATACAAGATGTCTATGTGATACTGATATCTGGGTAATATACCTTATTTGAAAGACAATTTTAAAAAAAATATATTTTATTTATTCATGAGAGCCACACAGAGCCCTGAGAGGAGCCTGATGTGGGACTCCATCTCAGGACCCTGGGATCAGGCCCCAAACCCAAGGCAGATGCTCAACCACTGAGTCACTCAGGTGTCCCAATGCACATAAAGGTTTTCAAATGCTGTAGCATTATCTCACTTAAGACCATAGTTACTCTGTTCCCAAGTCCCTGAGATTCTGTTTGAGGGGAGCTCTAAAAGGCTGTGTCCTCTTCTATGTCCACAACTCTAGGAGCACTCTGATGCAATTGGCTATCCAAATTTCAAATAAGGGGTCAGAGCCAAGGGCCAAGGCTTCAAGAAAAGCCCCAGAAATTCCCTGCACTCAAAAGCAGTTTCAGAGTTTCACATTTCCCAAAAGATGACAGAGCTAACTATAGTCTTCCAAATCCTGTCAGTTGCTTTAAATTATGGTTATAGTGGCTGTGGAACCCTTGAGCTTTAATAACCTGGTGCTTGAATTAAATCATGTAGCTCCTCTTGGGTTCTGGCATCTGTAATCTCTTCACAGGGTCTGTATTCCACAGCTATTTTATCACTTTCTGTAATAAAGTTAAAGAGGATCAATTCAGAGTTTTTCTTGTTCTAAAATGTGCTGTACTGGGTGTTATGCTATATAAAAAAATAAAAATAAAATTTGCTGTATAGAACCCATCATTAGACATTCTTTTGAAATTTAAAAGCAGAAAATAAAAGCATTTTCCTAGAAGTTTTCTCATCTCACACTTCTGTTTTTATAATAACTATTTTTTAAAGACTTTATTTGAGAGAGAGAGAGAGAGACAGCACATAAGCAGGGGGGAGGGGCAGAGGGAGAGATAAAAGCAGACTCCCCACTGAACAAGGGAGTCTGATTTTGGGGCTTGATTCCAGGACCCTGGGATCATGACCTGAACCAAAGGCAGACACTTAACTCACTGAGCCACCAAGGCACTCCTCCATCTCAGTTTTTAAAAAGATGTGTGTGTGTGTGTGTGTGTGTGTGTGTGTGAGAGAGAGAGAGAGAGAGAGAGAGAGAAGAGAGAGAGAGAGAGAATGTATGTGAGGGCACTGGTAGGGGGAGGGGCAGAAGGAGAGGGAGAGAATCCCAAGCAGATTCCCTGCTAAGTGTGGAACCCCCAATTCAGGGCTTGACCTAGGACCCTGAGATCATGACCTAAGCCAAAATCAGAGGTCCAATGTTGGACCCATCTAGCCACCCACAAGTCCCTCCATCCCATTTACTGATAAACCAATCACACTTTAAAAATCATTATGCTGCACCGTATGCTTGAATATCTGATAGCTCTATTCTCTCTCATTACCCTTCCTTTTTTTTATACTAAAGATTCCTGTATATCCTTAGATTTTTTTCCAGAATACATTTAAAAGCAGTTTGTCCAGATCTCCTCCCCAAAGCATATCTTCCCCCCCCACCAAAACATGTCTCTATTTACCTATAATGTATCTACCTACAAAGATACAGATAGATATGCAGATACAGACATAAATGTACGTATCTTCAAGAGATTTCTACATGTTACCTAATTCAACACCAATCTTGAGGCTGGATTAAGTATCTTTCTAAATCCGTGACCCTGTCTCTCCTAATAACTATTTTTAACGGTATAGTTCAGTGGCATTAAGTACATTCACATTGTTGTGCAACCATTTCCAGAACATTTTTCTTTTCATGTGCCCAAACTGAGATTCTGTATCCATTCGACAATAACTCCCCATCCCACCCACAGCCCAGCCCCTGGCAACCACCATTCTTCTATTCTGGAAGCCTTTTGAGATGATCACTTCCCTGCTGCTTTCAATCCAGCTGGAGTCCAGTTTTCCTCTCCTTGCAGATACAATATACAATACTTTGGAGAGGGGGCGGGCATGCATCTGAACACTTTATTGGCAGAAACGGGCCTATGTACCTTATAGGCAATAAAATTTCCCTTAAGGCAAACTAGAGCTACAAGACTTTTTAGCCTAAGGAGTTTTGAATGTGTATATGGATACCACAGCATATTAGGGCGAGGGTTGGCATATTAGGGCAAGGCCAACAACCCAGACGTTTAGTTTGGTTCTTAAAGGTTGTCAGAGTTGACAGCTAATGGAGATTCCATCTGATGACCACAGAAGTCAATCTACACTGGAAGAGCTGCCCAAGCTGGAAACCTGTGACCAATCCAGGGTCAGGGTCAACTCTTACAAGCAAACAAAGCTTCTAATACTTAGCTAAGATTTCTTAGGTTTTTTTTTAGATTTTATTTATTCACTCATGAGAGATTGAGAGAGAGAGAGAGAGAGAGAGAGAGAGAGAGAGAGAGAGGCAGCGACACAGGTAGAGGGAGAAGCAGGCGCCATTCAGGGAGCCCGACCTGGGACTGGATCTCAGGTCTCCAGGATCAGGCTCTGGGCAGAAGGTGGCGCCAAACCGCTGAGCCACCAGGGCTGCCCGGATTTCTAAGTCTTTAACACTCAAGGCTCTGAAGCAGGGGAGCAACTATTTGGGGACTCTCTACTAATTATAAAATTGGCAAAAAAAACAAAAAAAAAAAAACAAAAAAAGGGGGCTCCTGAGTAGCTTAGTCTGTTGAGTCTCTGATTCTTGATTTTGGCTCAGGTCATGATCTCAGGGTTGTGAGACTAAGCCCCACATTGGAGTCCATGCTGGACTTGGAGCCTGCTAAAGATTAGCTCTCTCTTCCTCTCCCTCTACTCCTCCCCTGCCTCCCTAAGAAAATAAATAAATAAATAAAATAATATTTAAAAAAATAAAATTTCCTTTGAGCACAGCCTGTAACATTCACAGCACTGTAGAACTCAATAGGGAATACAATCAACACTATTCAATAGGATGACCACTTTCAAGATTCACAAAAACATGGTTGATCATTACATCAGAATCATATTTACTCAATATGTCAGTGCCAGAAACAAAAACTGAAACCAAACTGATTCAAGAAACATAACCTAATAAATTCTCCAAGAGGAAAACAATAATGATAAGAAGTTGACATGTTTTGTCTGCTTACCATGTTCCAGGGATCGTTCTAACCTTTTTATATTCGTCATCTCGTTTACTCTTACAATATCCCTCATGATGTAAATTGAATTACCTTACTTTGCAGATAAAGAAATAGCAGCCTAGAGAGAATAAATACCTACAAATTTGACTATAAAACCTAAAATTGCATAAGAAATCTAGAGACAGAGATGGACAACAGATACCCAAAGCTTCTAATCACTATATCACTACTTTGTGTTATGGGCAAGCAATCAAGAAAGAAGATTGGGTCAAACACTTCCTATGAGGAGGCAAGTCACTGTATATCTATACACTGGGGACAAAAATATTTGCTGTCATTTGTCTCACACATACAACAAAGAACAAATTTGAGATTGCCGCTTTGGAAGCATTTGGTGAATAAAAGAATATGAAGTGTTTTCATCCAACCAACTTTTCAAAATGAGTTTATTTGCTCAAGGAACATGAAGTACTTTAAGGACAAAAAAAAAAAAAAGAACAATCAAGCAAGTCTTACCTAAAACCGCAACCAACAGTTTCTGGAATGCATCAGACATAGCCTTTTTTATAGGAAGCTTCTGGGTTGTTTTCCTTTTCATCAGAAATGATAATGGCCCTAAATCCAAACAAAACAAATGAACTTAAAATTTCTAGCTGAATGATAACTGATTTTTATTGTTGTATGTTTAAAAGGAAAGTGCATCCATGATTCTTAGATCATTATCTTAGCAACTAAGGGCAGGCATAACACAAGAGTTT